ATGAAGTAGAGATGGGTTGAACCAAGGCTATCCTCTTTGTCAAAGGGCTTTGACAATCCTGGAAAGGGCCAGTATCAAAAAGGAACTCTGCTGAACATGAGAACGAGAGAGAGCATTCTCAAGCAACATATTCTCTGATTACCAGGGTCCTGTATATCTTCGGTAGCCAGTGGAAGTATTAGCATTGGCCAACTTTCTTGTTACCTACTGCTACAAAATAAGTCATTCTCAATGTAATGATTTAACAATAATTTATGTTATTTGCCATGACTTTGTGGGTACTTTTGGTGTTTCCATTGAGGTGCCAACAAAATATCAATTGGGCTACATCATCTAAAGGATCAACTGGACTACAGGGCCAACATAGCCTACTTATATGAATGACGATACTGGCTTTCAGCCAGGAGCTCAGCTAGAGTTGTAATCTTCACATGTTTGTGTGGCTTCTCCTTGTGGCTTGAGCTTCTTACAGCTTAGCAACTTGGTTCCTGTTATAGTTTAGATCTACAGTGTCCCCCAAAGCATCATGTGTTCAGAAGTGAGGCTTTTAGAAGGCAGTTGGCTCATGGGAGCACTGTTCTCACCAGTGGGCTCACTGACTAGTGAGTCCAGCAGTTGCGTGTGCTCTTAGGAGGTGGGGCTGGTTCGAGGTCCGTCATTGGGCTGTGACTTGGAAGGGTATATCTCTCTCTCTAGCTCCTCCGTTCTCTCTCCACTTTCTGCCATGACAAGAGCAGCTTTCTTCTTAGCAGGTCTTTCCACCATGCCATTTCTGCCATGGAGCTGACCAGCTGAAAACATGAGCTAAATTAAACCTCTCCTTGTTAAGTAATAAATATCAAGTATTTTGTTTTAGTGATAAGAACGTGACTAAGATAGTTTCCAAAGGAGATGGCCCAAAAGCGAGCCTTCAATGAGTATTATGATATTTGACTAATACAATAGATTTAATTAGCCATGTTGTTTCCCCACTAACACCACGAGCAATTAATTAGTTTGCCTATAAATCAGTGTTCGAATCCAGTTCTGCTTAATCCACCATTCCATGCAGTGTGCTACATGAGTCCTTCAGGAGATGGTTAAGGCAGTTGTAGCCAAGCTCCCTGTGAGGCTGGAATGGATTTGTTTCTAAGAACCTAAGTGGGAAAATGCCTTCTCTATATTCCTTCCCTAAGAAGTTCTTTGAGATTGTGAAAAAATTTGATCTTACTTGTGTGTGTGTGTGTGTGTGGGCTGGGAGTGAGGGTGTGGTGCTGGGTTTCACTGTTTCCTGAGCAATTTCCACTGAAGAGATGAACAATTAAGGAGGGAGTGTCCATCTCCTTTTTCGAGTATGAAAGACAGCCTTGTTCATCGCACTGCCTCAAACGCAAAAAGTCCTGGGGAGACTTTGGTCTTATTGAGATCAACTCTGTGGGGTGTGTGTGTGCGTGCGTGTGCCCTCAAGCTCTGGAGTTTTATACTTTTCACAATGAGCACAGAGGACTTAGCCTTCATTTAAACAGCTTTTGATATTGATATTGATGCAGATTGAACCTTTCTTTCATAACCTATGGTTGCTTTCCCAATGAATGATATCATTTGAAAAAATGTTTGAGAGGGGAAAAAAGAAAAACACTGGATTCTTAACCAGACAAATGAGGCTCAGTCTTAGTTTGTCAGCATTACTAGGACATGGTCCCAGTTTCACGCGCCCCTTTTCCTTCTAAGACCCAGTTTCTGCGTGGTGCCATGATGTCTGCACGCCACCTCATAGCATGAAAGGCAACGGGAGCTTTGATGGAGAAGTTCACAGCTTCATCCAGCAGGTGATGGATGAATAAATCCATGTATTTCTGGAATACAGATTATAAATATGGATCAAAGAGCTAGAAAGATGGTTTTAATTGTCTTATTTTTGCCATTGGAATCAAGTAAATTCATGAAATGAATTGGAGAGTACTACTGGTTCTTTCCTTCCTATACACCTTAGTAATTTGTATAGAAAAATTTGTTTCTTCAATGTTTGTTAGATTTCCTGTAAAAACCAAGTTGACCTAGATTTTTCTCATGTGAAATTGATAAGCTTCTAAAGCAATTCTCTTACTGATTATGGAACTATTTAGGTTTTCTATTTCTTCCAGAGTCACCGTAGTTTACTTTTTCAGAAATTTGATTGACTTAAGCTTTTAAATATATTAATAGAAAGTTACTCACAATGTCGTTTTATTAGCATCTTAATATGTATGGCATCTGTAAGCAGGTTAGTCTACTTCAGTGTTTCCTTTCTGATTTATCCTTTTTTAAAATTTCTGGCTACGTTTATCTAAATTTTGTCAATTTTATGCTTTTTCAAAGAAGCAAATTTTGACTTTGTTGAGCTACACTATTATTAGTTTCCTATTTTATTATTTTTTGATATCAATAAATATATTTCCTCTAACTTATTTTGTATATAACTTTACTTCATTTTTAAAGGTAAAAGCTAACTTAATTTTTAGAGTCTCCTCTTTTATAAATAAAGACTTAAGCTATAAATTTCTACTACATATTGATGTAGATACTACTATAAGGTTTTTAATATGTGTCTTTTATTATTTCATAATTATAATTTTAAATGTTTTATAACTTTAATCATGTAGTTTTCTCTATCTCTTGGGTTATGTGGATGTATGTTACTTAACTTCAAAATTAGATGGAGTTATTTTGCTTTAATTGAAGGGGTTTATTTATTTTATCTCAGTTAAATAGATATCAGAAAAATATGTCATTTATGGTGCCAAGGGTTGAAAGTTTTTGAGATTGATTTATGCTCAAGCATGGGATAAATTTTATTAAACTCTTATATATGCTGAAGAAAATACATTCTGTAGTAATATAAATATATATTCATTAAAATAAATTTAAGTGCATTTAAAAAATTTTTGTACATTAACTTCTTTCCATAAGTTATCAAAAAATATATTTTAGAATCTTCAACTAGGATAGCAAATTTGTTTAATTTTACTTGCATTTTTTATGTTTCCCTCATATGATTTTAATAGGTATACAGAATCTAAGACATTTTATATCTTCATAATGAATTTAACTTTTTAATCTCAAAATAGTGATGAGATGATTTCATAAATTGTGGGATTTATCAGGTCTCAAAAGTCAGGTACATGACATTATATATGGTTATGTCATAGTTTTATTACTATTATTATTTTTTTTACTTGTAATAAGGCAGTGTCTTGGCAACCTTTGATGAGTCTTTGACAGACTTATGGCCTAGCAATATTTTAAAAATACTACTTCACCAGGAAGAGAACAAGTCAGCGTCACCCAAGATCCAGCCGTGGTGGAACTTGGGGGACCAACCAAGAAAACAACGAACCCTCCTTCTTGGTAAGCAGTGGTGGTGGGAGTGGGCAGTGGGTGGGCCAGGAAGAGAACAAGTCAGCCTCCCCCATGAGCCTACTGGGCACAGGCTGAGAATCAACCCCCAACCCCATCCCCATTAGCAACTGGAAGGTGTCAAGGACAGCCAGAGTTGATAGCAACTAAGGTACATAATATGAGCAACTAAATGCTCATATTGTTGGGTTGATCATGCTGACCTGGGGCCAGAGGTCTGAGCATCTCTTGGGAGGATGACCATATGCAATATAGCAAATATGGGGGATTTCCTTCTACCATCTTTTTGAAGGCGAATATTGTCATCACTGTTTTGCTTTGTTCTGATTGTTTCTCTCTATTCAGTATTCTGTTTTGATAGGTTTTATACTGTTCTGTTTTTGGTTTGATTTTGCTATACCTGACAGAATGGACAATATTGTGAAGATAACAAGATACACTATGGTAGCTATTGTTGTTTTCCTGGTATCCTGCTCTGAAGTTCTGTACCAATTTCACTGCATTGTTTCAATTGGCTTTGTTCTGTCTTGTTCTGGTCATTCACTTCATGTGGACAGCAATGAAATTGTGTTAGGATAAAGTAAATTGTACAAATATTTTCCTATTAAGACTTGATATAAAATATTAGTATTTTTGAAGCTGTGGAAATTAATGTGTTTAATTTTGGTTTTTAGGGTTACTTTGGGATGTTTTATCCCAAAGTATGTGGAAAGATTGAAATGCCCTCTTTTAGCAACTGGGATTTAAAGAAATTGTCTGGGAGCAACTTTGTAAAATGAAACTGCAGGTTGATATTGTAACATTTGTAGTCTTTCTCTTTGAGACTTTTTTCTTGAAATGCAAACTCTTGTGCTCAGTGGATACCGTGTGGCTTCACCTCCTGGCTTCATCTATCAACATGTGGAGGTTGTGGACTTTTGAATCAAACAAGATCAAGGAAAATTTGGAATTGAGATTCAACATGACATAATCTCTTGAACTGGAAAGACATTTGGGGGCCAAGGCTCACATTTTGGTTCAACTCCTTTGAGCATAGAAAAAGCTATCTGCAAGATGAAAAGAAGAAAGAAGGTTTTAGATGGGAACAGAGGAGGAGCAACAAGCAGCTTTGGGGACATGGGAAAGCAGGGTAGGTCTTGGTGTCCGTGGAACCCCTTGCTCCTCTCTTTGATACCCTTGGATTTATAGAATTCTATCTCCTTGCCATAAACCTCCCTTTCTGGCGTAGGCTACTTTGAGGGGATTTTTGTCCTTGCTAATTTTAAATGTTACTTTGCAAATCAACTTTAGAGCAGCCTTCACAGCAGTTGATGGCCTTGGAAGAATTCCCAGGGCTGTGGTTAGAAACATCTAAAGGGGTTCTTTATAAGGAATAGGTTTTGAATAATGCTAACTGTTGGGTCCACTGCACTCCAACAACTTACCACCACCACCTCGCACTTATGATCCTGTGCTTTCCAAAGAAGAATAATAAGAAATCTTACTGTAGACTGAATTCAGTGCTAAATAGGTTTATTGAGGCTTAAAGGAACCAAATTAACTAGAAAAAGACATTATCAGAATGACATGACAAAAATCTCGGAACATTTTTTTCTATACAGCATACTCTGATGACTTAGTGGCTTCTATTTCTCAAATTCGCTTTGAAGAGTTGATCCACAGAGGGAAATGTTCAGAATCCAGAGTACACTAAGAGTGTAGCATTTCTCTGAGTAAATTTCTCCTAATAAAAAGAAAAGAAATCTATATCGACAACTATTTAAATACATCTTTTTTTTTCAGGCAGTGGAGGAATCTCACAATTTCCAAATGATATGCACAGATTTCAAGATATCATTGTCTCTGTCTCTCTGTGACTGTTTCTCTTTCTGTCTCTGTCTCTCTCTCCTATTTGTCAATTAATCAAGATACAATCACTCAATTCAGAGATCTAGAAAATTGTTGTTGGCTTGGTTATTAGGTGGACACATTTTGTATAATCTAATTTTGAATGCCCAGAAATTGTGTTTGAGCTACAGAGTAGAATAAACTCTACTGTTTATAAACTTTACTGTTTAGAGACAAAGAGACATTCTTTCACTTAGCCATTCATATCTTAAATATGTCTTAAATATTCTCTTAAATACTCTAGATGCACCCTTGAAAGGCAGCATTCTATTAAGTTTAAGCAGAGAATATAGTGTCAAAAACACTTGGAATTGATTTAGGTTCACGCTTTGTGACTTCTTTCTCTCTCTGTTTCTGCTTCAGTGTCCTCATTTATAAAATAAGACTAACAAAAGAACTTGCAATACAACATTTCTGTGAGTAACAAATTAGTTAACACATTCAAAGCACATAAAACAGTGCTGCAGAGGTGCTAGCCTTGGTAACCATTCCCTGCACGACTGATGCCTTCTAAGACATGCTCGAGGTAGAGGTAACCCATGACCCCTCACTGGAATGTACAGTGGGAGAGTACTCACCTGGAATCTCTTCAGCCAAATATGTTGGAAGCCCATGGCACATGCCAGCAATGTTTTGTCCAAATTTGTTCAGATCATCAACTTGGTTGGAGTTGACAGAGTACTTCAGAACCTTTGGAGGTGCGCTCCCTGCTCCCTGACCCTGAAGAAGACACATGGAAAGGAAGAAAGAGAAACAGTGTGAGGGCCAAACCCAGTGGTTCGCTGATTTGCTAAGGGGCACAAGATCAAAACAGGGTAACTGCTTGACAACAATTTTTCAAAAACAGAATGAAAGAAGAGCTAATTCTAGCTCTGGACGTGTCAGCATTTCTAAGTGTCCCAAGAGAATCTGCTCCTTATAAAAACAAAAATCGAATTCTAAATTTATTTATTTGAGCTCATTTGATCACTTAAGTTTCTTGGAATGGGCCATGTGACAATCAAGTTGTCAGAATATAGCTTGTTGTCTCTGTCTTGTCAATGAAAGCTGCCCACCTATCAATTATAGGAATATGAACTCAGGAAAACATTTTCAAAAAACCATAGATCCCTATTCTCATCTATCTCAACTATGATACGTGAAATTTAGGAACCCAGTTACATTTAAATTTCAAATAATCGACAAATTATTTTTACTGTTCTTCCCCTGTGGTCAAATGGGAATGACAGTGACTTTGATCTCCTCTCACCAAAACTAAAAAGACTTATTTTTACCTTCTGCTCCTTGACTAGAGCATCAAGGGTTTGAAGAGAGGGCATGACATCATTGTTCATTTTGTGCACGACGCATGACTTCTTGCTAAAGAGTCTGGTTGCAGCAAAGCCCTATTAGAGAAGACCGTAGACAGTGAGGTGCATGTTCTCCAAGGAGCGTCTCTTGTCAGAAATCGGTTTCATCCACAGAAAGAAATGGAGCTCCTAAATCATGAGCTGAGATGGAAGCTCTAGGTTTGGTGCTGTGTTGAAATAATCTCTGTTGCTAACATTTCTAAGGACAAGGACAGACTGTAAGCTCTTTGAGGGGCACGGAGAGAAAGAGCGAGAGAGAGAGAGACAGAGACAAAAGAGAGATAGAGACAGACAGAGACAGAGATAGAGAGACAGGAAGAGAAATGGAGAGATAGAGACAGAGACAGAGAGATAGAGTGATAGACAAAGGAGAGACAGTGAGAAGCAGAGACAGAGATAGGGAGAGAGAAAGAAATATAATCAAATTCATAGCTTTATCTTCAGTTCTATCATGATAAGGGTTAATAATCATATAAATATTTTACTGAAATAAACTTTAGAAATCTATTATATTTTAGGCCCCTTTGTTCCTCACATTTCAAGGAGGCAGGTAAGACAAAAATTAAGTGAGGCCATCTTCAGGCAAACAAAGTCTTTTCATATTTGTATAATATTCCTACAATTTTTTGCATTTGGGGAATCTTGGTAACTGTTTACTGGCTTTTATTTAATTGATTACTCCATACTTATTAGCACTAATTAATTTTATATGAGGAGCAAACTTCAGTGAGCAAAATGATTTCTCTTTCTTATAACTATTATACTATTTGTAATTAGGTTTTATTTTTTCCTGGTTAGCTGGCATATTCCTTTTTGTTGTTGTTTTAAAAAAGACACCATATTTATAAAAAACGGAAGTTGCATGTTGGCTCCTTACATTTTCATAATCCCAAAGGGAATTCCAGGAGTCCCATCCATTGTTGGTGTCAACATTGGCCACATTGTGTGCGTTATTGATGTTCACTGATTGCTGCCCGCTTCCAGCCACGTTGCCTTCGTCGTTCACGTTGATATTCTGAAGTTAGTAAGAAATCGAGAATGACTTAATATCGTATTTCTTTGCAAATCCACTTGATAACAAACCTTAAAAAGTGAAACTTACATAGTTAGCAAAACCAGGAGCTACGAAGAATCCAAGAAGTCCCATCAGGAGCATCTGCAATCACAGATAACATTGACCACTGTTCCATGGCGCAGTGACACTTTCTTTCCTCTCTTCATGCTTATGGAAAAAATTCACTAATTTTTTAGTTTGTTGTGACATATTTTCTTCTTTTACCTTGTATTTTTAACCATAGAAAGTTTTAAAGATAATGCAGAATTATTGATTCATTAGTAAAGATTTCAGTTTGCATGTAAACCTTCTCAAAAGCTGACCAAGAATACATTTTTAAGTAAACAGCATGCATGGTATGTAAGTGGGTACATAGCAAATCACATTTGAGAATGATGTAAGTTAATTTTCCTGTTTGGTCTGGGTTGACAGACTCCTTGTAGTAAAAATATTATTTTCTTATTAATTTGAAGAATTTTTAAAATTATTTTTTACAAGGACTTAAAAGTAGACTTTTTAAGTCTTAAAAAAAGACTTAAAAATAGTCTGCTAGGGAGTCATAAGTGGAAGGAATTTTAGAGAATATTTAGTACAATGTAATCCTTTCACCGAATAGGAAACTAAGCTTTAAAGGTTAAGTGACTCATCCAGAGGACCAGCAGAGCAGTAAGATGTTTTACCTCATAGCTGAAGCCTCATCACCAACCTTTTAAAAACTCTTCCTGCTATTAAGAGGATTTATTTCTAAATCATTGTTTTACATTTGAAACCCCATTATAAAGCAGAGTCAGCTGTAGATAGTACAAGGTATAGCATATTGAAACACAAACATACTCGTCTGATTATTGCTCCTTTGCATTTTGCTATAAAAAGTAGTCTTATTTCTAGCACTGCTTGCAGAACGTGGGGTCCACCTCTTGCACTCTTTGGCCTCTGTCTGGAACCACAGTTGAGAGACTGCAGCATCTGTACATTTTGGAGGCTTTCCAAAACACATGTCACAGACAGGGCCTGAGGCCAGCCTTTCTTACCTGATCACACATTTCAAGCAAAGACTATGAAATCTAACCTCCCACCTGCACGTTGTGATAAGCAGCTTTTTAATCTGGCCTGCACGTGATCAGAATTTTTGGTAAAAAGAAGAATTCAAGAATGATGAAAGATCAAGCACATTCTAGGGCTCAGGGACTCTTGTCCTGTGTAGACAGCTGACTTGAGTGATGTGAACAGTAATTTTATGGAAGATAACTTGGTATAAGGTGCTCAGATATCTGTCTAATCCTGCTAGGATACCCTTCTGTATAGACATGCTGATGAATGCCAGATTCTATAAAAAGGAAAGAGAAGATTTTATTTGTCAAACTTTTCCATTATGGTGACCATACATGCCCCAGTAATCAGTATCTTAGAATACTAATGGTCTCCACTTACGAGGCACTGAGTTCAAAGTGAAAAATGTACTTACTGTGACCTTCATGTCTGCAGGAGTGCAGAGGGGAGAGGAGCAGGAAGACATGTACCTGCACGAGCAGACTTCTTGTATTTGTACCTGTCCAGCTTTACTTAAGACAGGTGTGTTTGGGTGGAGTCAAAGACTTATCTTTCTTCTCTTCCTGAATCTGTGCTTTGCACCCGGACGCTTTGGGATGCCCGGTTAGCAAGGCACTTTGACATGGATCTAGTCTGACTCACCCCTCGGTGTAGTTGCATATATCACAACACACTTGACATGATACGTGATAACTTCTGGTCCAGTAGAAGCCATGGACGTGGGTACTTGACACAATGATGTTGCTCAGATTCAGAAAGAGAATAATCCCTAAAACCAAACAAGCACACAGATGAAAAACTCTGTGTAGTTACCAAACCGTATCATTGCATCTCAGAAACGCCTTTCAGCTATGGCCTGGTCACAGCTCCCCTCACAGGACTCTCACCACGATGATGTAACTGATCACTCGGATCAAGGGCTCTGCTATCTCAGTGCATTTTTTCTAGACTGTCTTTTTCTAAGGCACATTATATCAATAAATGTGCTGTGCTATGCTTATTTCACTGGCAGCCCTCAAAATAAAGTTCATTCACTGAAATGGTACCCAGGGTCCTTTATAATGGGCGTTCCAGCTTTCCGGGTTGTTTCTGTTCTTTCTGCCACGTACTTATGTTGTTGTTATTCTGGCTCCTGTGTTCCTAAAATATCCAACACATTCCATGACTCTGTGCCTTTGCACATGCTTTGTTCTGATTCTGGAGGGCCACCCCTTCGCCCCTTTTTAATTGGAAAATTGCTATCCATGTTTCAGTGCTGCGACATCTAACACTTCTCCATTTCTCAGATGAACACTCCTCCCACTGAGGGTACAGAGAACTGCTTTTGTTTCCATGCTATTTAGTTCCAGAAATTACATAAAGATAGCTAAATTTTCATCAGACAGATGGAGTAGAAGCTGTCACTTAGGGCAAAAAAAAAAAAAATGCTTAGACAATCTTAGAAGTAAATTAAAGTTTATTATTTTTCTTGTTTGGATAGTAAGTCAAATTTGCTGAAGAAGAAAACTTTATCATTACTTTTTTATCTACAAATTTTTCCTTTGAAAATCTTCTTGTGTGTGGTTGTGCTCCTGTGATCAACAGGATTCTAAATAAGAACTTATGTGGTTCTAAAGCTTGGCTCATTATCAACATTTTTTTTGAGACATAGTCTGGATATATAGTCCAAGCTGGTCTCAAACTTGTGATCTTTCTACCTCAGCTTCCCCAGTGCTACATATTCCACTCCTGACAATATCAGCGTCTCTTCCAAAATGTTGGCGTGCGTTAGTTAAAGGCAGCTGCAGGAAGACACTGCTTGCATTTGTAATGCGCCCACCAATACCTTTTGAGCTCACTCTTTGGCCACAAGAAGTCAGAGTCACAGAGTGGAGAGCACAGACCCGGCCATTAGACTCAGCCTTCGGTGGGCGTCTGGAGCACTCAGGCACTGCTCAGCGAGTGTTTGTCATCATCTCTGACCGTGGAGGCTGGCACATTCTATGGACAGTGGGCATGTGAAATGCAGCTTGGTAGATGTTTCACAACACAGCCATGCAGGCAGGCAGATGAATTAGTTCAGGGTTTCTCTCCTATACATAGACAATTCACATCCACATATCAAACATGCTAAGAAATCCACAGAGGAGAAATTCATGCCACACTGTGGTACGCAGATCCTATAAAGTTAACTGATGACAAAACATGGCTATGGTCTTTTTCCTCATATGTATTTTTATAGCACCTGTGCCATCCTTAAAGACGCCTTCCTTGGGGAAACAGCAATCGTGCTGCCTCTGAGTTTGGAGCTTGGATCTGAAAGTTCATTTTGGGACCGAATGGTTCAAACTAGGAAGCAAGAGACCTCATTTAGTTTTCCTTCTGTCAGTCACTTTTTTCCCCTTTAGGTTTTAGACTTCCTGTGGATAAAAAGGAGAAGAATTTCCTCCTTTGTACAACATTATATTTTTTCAGTAGTTCAAATTCAACAGGTCTTCACGCCCTACACTTTGTGCTGTGTGTGCTCTCTTCTCCTCACTTTCTCTCTCCTTCCTTCCCAAATCTCTTGCTCCTTTTTGTCCTGAGAACCAAGTTCTGTGCCCTTTCACTGCAGGAAGACAGATCAGGTCTCTGGTTTTTGTCATCTCCACAGGTGCTCGATTATGCTGACCCATACGTGATGTTCACTCTGTCCCTTTAAAATTTTTGAATTGCATGAAAGGAGAGGACACACAGTGCACTGTGTTTATCCAATTCTGGTTTCCAGCGCCCGGTAGATATGTGCTGCTCCATAACACACGCAGGGATCTCCGGCGATAGTGGGGTTCAATGTGGGCCAAGCCAGCCCATAGGTAAATAGAGTTTGCCCTACCCACAGAGGTTAAAACCCAGCCATGTCAAAACCAGATCCTGTCACCATTTTATCTCACAGTGCACACACACGCAAGCCTTCGCTACGCCACACCCTGTTGTGTCAAGCTGAGTGAAAACTCTTTGTCGGGAATAAACGAGGTGCATTCCGTGTGCCACATGGATCTGAAGCGAGATTTAGAGCTTTCCCACAGAAAGCAGACTTTCCCCGTTATTCTTAGTGGAAGGGAATGTTTACCTGCGGGACACATTTCCACCTTAAATGCTCCCGTTCCACAGGCTCCCCGGGTTGTACACACCTGCTAACGGGCTGATCTGTGCAGCCCTTAGCAATCTCTCCCTTCCTTGAATTGCTATCCTGGTCACTGATGTTCAGGGCTCAGTTAGTTTTAGTCCATTGGTCTTTGTACTGTGTTTGTGTGGGTGTGGAAATCCCCCCATGCAGAGATTCTGTTTTAGTCTCTCTGCTTTAACTGTTGGTTTGTTTTTAAAGTCTGTGTCCCAGTTCGATGGTTTCCGTTATGGCCCCCAGGCAAGTGGTTCACTGTGAAGTCTGATCCCATTTCCTCTCTCAGCAATCTTCTGTCCCTTTCTGTATCTTTTTTACTCAACTGTAGCTGAGACTCCACTACAAGCTCCTCGTGACTACAGCCTGATGCTTGCAAAGAACCCAATGACAGTTTAAATTTTTGAAGAGTATTGCCTTAAAAGACACAGTAGCATGAATCCCCCTCAAAATATTTCCCTTCACTTGCAACTCACTTAGCGGGAATCTTTCCTCCTTCAGCGTTTGTCTTGGGACTCCATCTCCTGAATTGATGCAAAATATGTATCTTTCACGGTCATTTTGACTTTTAAGAAGAGCTGGAAGTCACACAGTGCCAGAGCCAGCCAAGAGGGTGGGTGAGGACACACTGTGCCGGTTAGTGAGTCTGCTTCTCTGTTGCGTGCTATTCTACAGAGTGCTTACTATGTCACACTTTTTAAAGCTGCTCGTGAAAGGGGAGCTCCAGAAGTGCTTCAAGGAGTGGCAGGGATGATGCACTAAGTGAAGTGGGAGAGGAATGTTGTAGGGAGATTAATGGCAATGTGTCTGTAACACATTTTTAAAAACTTAAACATTCGTCATAAATTGTGGTCACTTCTTGTACTTGTCTCAAAGTTCTCCATATGTGCTGTGGCCAGGAATGATGCATCTAAAAAAGTTATACAAGCATGCAAACTGATATTTTAATATTAATCATTAGCATCTGCTCTCAGAACATTCAAATTTATTACATAATTGTTTTGTATAGGAGCAAAATTCTTTTCAAATTACATAAAAGTTGCAGGAACTTTTAAAAATGGCATTCACTGAGATTTTCATTTTTGCTGTTCCTTCTGGGACCAGTGCCTTGCAAAAATACATACAACTCTGCCTTTCTATTGCTGCTGCATAAATCTGTGCAACTGTACTTGCCAAACCTTTGGGATCCCTGAAGAGGCAAGTAATGTTATATTTATGCTTTAAATTTGATGTTATCTGACTGTTACAATGTTGTAAATAGCATGGGAGAAGAAACCTTGCTAACCAAAAGTCTCCTGAGTAATTTCCTCATTTGTAGAAAATATATGGAGATAGAGATAAAGAGAACATTGATCAGTGACTTCATCTTTTGTGATTATGAAAAATCATCAAACCTAGTTAAGAACTTCTGTGAAGGATTTGGAGAAAATGAGCTCATAGGAGACCTGGGAATCACAAAGCGATAGTTGAATATGGCTGCATAATTACCTCATAGGTAATTCTGAAATAATATCACTATTCCCTGTTCAGCATTCTTATGGAAGCTGTTTAGTTACAAGTATGTAAAACACTTATGATTCAAGTGTGCTCACTCATTCTGAGCCTTCAGACTTGGAAAAGACCAAACTGCTAATTCAAAGAAAAGAAATCAATCTCAAATTGCTAGAGCTAGAGTGGCAGATTGGGCAGAGTCACTGGAGCCAGGGGCTGGTGAAGACTCAGTAACCCCTGCACAACACTGGTTTCCATAGTTTTCCTAGCAGAAGATACCAAAGAAAAAAGTCACTGAGCAATGAAGCATGGTCTAGTGAATCACTAAGTGTTCTGCAGGGTGGCGATGGAAACTGGTTTCCTTTTCTGGATCTCAAGTAGGGCCTACATACATTTGTATATTCCTTTCACTTCTGAAAGAACACATCCTCAGAAGAGATATTAGATCCCCAGGGTTGCCTCAGGGAATTTTGAGCTTCCATTGTTATTTAATTATGCTCTCTTTTTTTATCCACACTCCCAATCTCCAGTTCCTGGATATGTATCATAAAATGTATCTCCTGGGAGATGTGCTGGTGCTGTATTCCTTCCGAGGTCCCAGAGAATTTGAGTAAAAACCAAATTGAGGCTAAGAAAGTCTTTTTTTTTTTCATTTGCTTTTCAGCAATGGGTCACTGGACCTGCAAATCACTTTTTCATTTGTGTACAAATCAGTTAATAGCAATTTACGATGCGGCAGCTAATGCAACATCCTATTAAACATATGTGCTATGGAAGACTTAAAGAGGTAAAATAGCCAGAGCTTACCCTCCAAGGCATAGCTGGCTGTGGGGACATGT